TAGGTCTCTACGTCCATCCCATGGGGAATGGGAGCAGTAACAAAGGTGTTGCGTTTATATTTTTGTTGAGTGTAGTTTGAGGGAGTCTGATAGGGCTCATCTATTGGTCTCTGCTGCCCCCTTGTGGTGGTCTGTGTTAAACTGCAGCAAGCTTACAGTAAACCATTTACAGAGGAGTGTACTTTTAACACTACCAAGAATAAAAACACTACAGTGACACTTACGGGTGTTCTGCCAAACTTTCGTACCCACCGAGGCTTTCTGCAATCGCAAACATCTGAAATAAGACCACAAAGGACATGAAGATGAAGTGAAGCACGGCGTGTAATGTGTACAGGCGAGCACAAAAGTTTCAAGGGAATTACAAAAAATGAAAAAGACAATTAGTAACCCACAACGGAAACAAGCCAAAGCAGCACTCTTCACTGTTATTTGTGGTCTGGATCATTTTCAGACATTAACAGCGAGCTTACATAGGCCTTTCATACACACAGTGAAGTCCACAATCTGTTCTTCTTGGATCATGCTGCTTCACAATGGTCCACTTGTAACAAATACTATAATAAAACTGGTCAAATTAACATGAAAACAATGTTTTTCCAGTGTGAAAAAAATGTGATGAATTTGACAGCAAGTATAAACTGATGTCACATGTTAATTATGGCTATTAGAATGTAGCGAAATATTATCAACTTGGAAAGTTTGTAATATGTCTTGTAGAAAAACAGCGTTTGAAAATGTCACTGTGTCTGTGTGCGTGTGTGTCCGGTCAGTGAAGGCATCTGATCCTGATACAGACTCTATGCAGTCCTATGAAAAACTAAGTACACCCCATGACTCAGTAGTTATAGAACCTTTAGAAGCAACAACTTGAAGTAATCATCTTGTGCAAAATAATCGTTTGCACACAAAATTGCAGTTGGATTTATGAAACAGTCGCACTGGCCTATTTTGTTCTTACCACAGTGCGTATGTTCATCGTTCATGACCAACAGTCTTGTTTAATCTTCATACAATTTGCAACCTATCTGCACACTACCCCGTCCACATTTCTCTATATAAGGAAGTAGGTTTACCTCTAGGTGCAGCTGAGAAAGCTGTGAAAGGCAAGAAATAAGAAGAAAGTGAAAATATAGTGTCTGAGGTCCAAACAGGAAGCCAGAAGAGATAGTAGCTCGACTAAACCATTTCTTTGTAATCCCTACAAACACAGTAAGGGTGCATTTAGTTTTTCACAGCACTACATCTCATAGTTTTCCTAAAGCCCAGCAACCTGCTTATTAAATGCAAAATCAAACAGGCCAGAATAAATAAAAACTTTGAGCCAAATTACTTTGAGGTTATTGAGGAAGGTAGTAGCATGCTCAAGTTTCCCTTTAATGTTGAAGGCAATCATCCCTGGACACCCAGTACACTGTCTCTTCATCACTTCGTACTGGGGGTGAGACGGCAGGCCTGTGTCAAAAGAGGGAAGACATATCTCAAAATTTCAAATTTAATTTTAAAGAAAAGGTTGGTAACGTACAACTTAATTTAAATAAGAAAACTGACTAAATTATATTTTATAGGCAAAAGCTGTAAATAATTGGCAAAAACAGCACAATAAGATGAAAGTTAGTTATTTACCCATGAACACCAAAGTAAGTTGGAGGGAAAATGCTGATTAATCAGTTTGCTTAGTTACAAATTAGCACAGAGGAGGGGCAAAAAATTTTATGGATGAGACACATTCAGTTGGCTACTTTCAATAGAAAATTATGTATTTATTAGAGACGGCACGATGCCACTTTTTTATGTCCGATACGATATCATAAATTTGGATATCTGCCGATACCGATATGAATCCGATATAGTGTGTTTTCCAATAAAACTGTTTTTTTAATATCTTGCTGCTTTTTGTA